AGCTAAAAATGACCGCATGACAGCCTACATGAAAATGGCGAATTCCTTACTCACAAAATTCGACCACCACGAGTTGAATCAGATAACCCGAGATCAGAATACGCATGCAGATGCCCTTGCTTGCCTAGCCTCCGCTATTAACTCAGAAGTCAAATGAACAATTGAAGTAGGGTTCATCCCAGAACCGAACATTACCTCTTATGAACCAGTTCAGATTAACATCATTGAACCAGGACCAAGCTAGATGGACCTTATCGCTGCATTCCTTTCCTCAAAATAGCTACCTCTGCAACTCTCTGAGCTGAAAGAAAAATAGACAGCATTTCAGCCCAAACTGATCAAACACGGGTGTAGCCAAACAACTGTACCCTACTGCTGATCACTGTTCCCAGATTTCTGTTCCCACAATACTGAATCTGATACCCGCGGATAACTGATTCCTGATAACTGATTCTCAACAATACTGATTCTGGTGCCCTCGGGCCCGATACTCAAACTCGCAAACTGGTATGTTGAACTTCTGAACGTTCTGAACGGGTTCAAAGTTTGAAACGGATGGGTTGAATCTTGAGGCTGAGAGCGATCCTAGGCTGCGCAATCTCAAGAGCGATTCCACACAGGTCTTCGCAGGGCCGCGTAAAACATTTGTTTTTGAAAGTTTTTAAGAAAGCGACAAATCGCTCGCGCCGAAGATAGTGTGGAACCAATCTGGATCAGGCCAGGATCCTTCCCAGTACTCACGCCGACAAGCATGATCTCAATCATTAAGGGCTTAGCACGCCTTTCTTTCTCTCAAAATGATCAAAATTTTGCAAAAGCCGAGGAATTCCTTCCTCTTCGTTTTTATCACCGCAGTGTTCAAAAAAGTTTGTTTTTGAAAAACTTAGGTTAATGCAATGAGTTTGGTGCGCAGGGGAGTAGGCGAGGTGTACTGTCAGCCCGATCAAATTCTCTGGCACTTATGCTGAAAACAAGCATGAAGTTTGAGATAGCAACAGCTGTTTCATCCGAATCTGTTGGTGCAACTGGCCCCTCGGCAGAAACAGACTCAAAAACCAAAACAGGTAATTCCAGAACAAAACAGTGTTCGAGGCAACAACCCCAGAATCACCTGGTATTATATACAACGGGGACTGACTCGATACAGCCAGACAGACCTTTAAGCAAAAAAGATTGACTCAAGACAAAGAGACAGACTCAAAACAAAAGACTGACTCGATATTCGAGCCAGGATTTACAAAACTCGACTTCACCGATGCTCAAAAAATGCGTGCCAGATGCTACATCCAAAATACACCAAATGTTGCCCGCAGGCGATCCACTTTACATACTCGCAATATCTGAACCCTCGAAATCCAACAGCTGAGTGGTGACGGGCTTGCCTGAGGTGGGTGGTAAGATAACCTTGTTATCAATCAAATCCTGCACTTCATGACGAAGGCGGGAACATCCATCGGTACTGTGACCGGACTGTTGGTGGTACGCGAAGTACAAGGTAGCATCGTGCGTGGCGGGGAGATTCTTCGGGAGTAGCCGGGGCTCCAAAGGCTTAAGATGCCCATTCTTCGCCAATATTAGCAATGCCCTAGACAAAGGCATGTGGAGGTCGTGAAAGACCCTGCGCCCTCGGGGCAGGTACTTTGCAGTTTGAGGATTCTTGCCAGATGCGCTGGCGAAAGGATCGGCTGGCGCTGCCTTGGCTTTTTGAACCTTCCCCGGTACAGGGTTGGGA